TTTAAGGATTTTTTATTTAAGGTGGCGTGTGATTGGGCGGTCTCATGACGTGGGTGGCTAATGAAGACAGAATCTTTAAGCATATCTTGGAGAGAGGACAAGTCTGTGGAAGGCTGAGCAAACTCTTTTTGAAGTTGTAAGACATCTTTTAATTGCGTAACCCTTTGACTTAAGTCTTCTTTGGCACGCAAAAGCAAGGGCATTGTAAGGGGAGGCATTAATGAAGGTGCGCAAATCTGGGGTGCATAAGAAGGAGGTCTATGGGGTGCTGCGGTAGGAGACAGAATTCTGCTACCGAGAGCAGCTGCTTTTTATTGGGGTCTGAATCTGCCCCCTCAACGATATCTCTGATTAGTCCCCAGTACGAGAAAACGGATACAGGGACGGCATCTGGGCCTTGATTCAGAAGTAAATTGTTTAAATCTCTGCCTACCTTTTGCCACTTGCGTGGGTGAATTTCAGGTCCACCAACAATAAACCAGGGACAAGCACGGTCAATGAACACAAAAAACTTTACTAGGTCCTTTTTCTTAACTCTAATTCCTCTCTCTCTGAGTGAGGCCTTGAGATCCTTGATAAAAACAGCCTCTTTAGACAATGAATGGCCCATCTTGATGGGATGATAATGTAAAAAATTTACTCACCAGACCGTCGACTCTGTGAGCGGCAGAACGAGGGTCTCTGTAGGGTTTCCTTCGGCCAAAGAGCGCACCGCGGCGTCACCTGACAAAGGTCCGTACCTCGTGCCCCACATTGGGTGCCACTTGTCCCAACCCTCGGGACCTTCTGTTACTTGTGGGGGTTAAGGGGGACCATGCCTAAAAGAGATGGGCGAGAGAAAGGAATGAGACCAAGCAAAGGGTTGTCAAGGTCTACTTTACTTAGATTCTTAGTAGGTTTTATAAGCATACAGAAACAAGGAAGTAGAAACAGAAAAATAGAGTGGGATGACGAGGAGGCTTGGGTCTGGGCTAATCATCCCCAATCAGCGTCTTATCGGTATCGAAGCTGTTTGTGACTGATTACTCAACCCCAACCTGGCAGGTGGTCGGGAACAATTGCAGTTGCACACCCTGGAGCATTTCGTGGTCAGCACGTCATGGAACGCATTCTTTTTGGAGCTATAGCTGGAGGGTGGGGTGCTGTTTTTGTCCTAGGAATTTTCCAGGGCGAAGCCCGTGCGTAGGACAAGTCATAGGGGTGTTGAGGGTCCTGGCTCCTAACAACTCAGGCCACAGGAGGGATCCTGAGCTGCCATTTTGGTTGCCCAGTTGGCTCTGGCCTCTCACCAGCTGGAGAGTCTGGTCCCACGGCACCCTCCTAACACCCAAGCGGAGTCAGCACGTCCCCATTCTCCCCACGGTGTCTACACTATGGGGAGACACTAACAGCCCTTCCTTAGGGTTCCAGACATGAGTTAGACACATTATTAGGTTGAGAACAAAAGGGACCCAGAAATAAATACTCTTTGGCTGATGCTGGGAAAGACTCTAGCCAAGATTAGTGTTGTAAAAGGAGTTATTGAGAATGTTCTGCCTTTCTTATACTCTGCTGGTTTCTGCGGAGGATGCAAAATTAGTGGACTTTAATAATCACTTGCTTGTAAAGGGCTTATAAATGCTGTGCAGGAGGCCACGCCTTATGGCTGCCCGAAGGGAACTGTCTGGGCGAGAGCGTGAGCCTGGACTCTCACCCAGAGGGAGGGACTTACGGGGGATTGTGCGCACCGCGGATTCTTCAGGAGGGCAGTGGCACCGTGAATGGGTGCTTCGCGGAGCACAGCTGGCAGCCTTGAGTCAGGCTGGACTGCAGGTCAGAGGCCAGACGCAGGGAGGGCTGCTAAGCAAGTGTTCCAATCATGTGCCACGGGGCTCGGGGCTCGGAGCGACACGCGAGGCTGGGACTGCCAGCGGGAACCCAGGAAGAGGCAAATGCAAGAATACTCGCTACAAGAGCCACAGGATTCACTGACCTGTTGGATATATTAGAAGGTGAAGGAGCGGGCAAAGGTGACAGGGCACGTCTGCAGCTAGAAGCCAGGGAACTCGGGACCCTCAGGGCAGATAGGCTGGAGTTGGGAGGCAGGAGGAGGCTTGCAGACCAAGAGGATGAGGTCAGCTTTGCCACCCTACCTTCCTAAACCTCGTGAACTCGGGCTGCGCACACTTCCAGGAGAGCCGCACCGGAGACAGGGAGCCCGAGCGAGACAAACGACACTCTAGGAACCGTGCCATGGGCTGCTGTCTGGGAGAATTGGCGTCAGCGCAATCAATTCTTGTTCTGCGTTTTCTGCTTGCTTTAATTATGTGTCTCTCTGGGAAAACAAACAAACAAGCATTGATAGGGAGAACAGTAACGAGTGGGGCTCATCTCCTGATTCCTGGGATGTGTTGAGAACCACGTTTGGGTGGGACACTCTGGTCACTTACCAGACACTCAGTGCACGTGTATGTTATTTTGTTTGCCTAAGAGGTGCCCGGAAAGAAGGAAGTGTTTTTGGAACTAACGGGTTTGGGGCTACCAAGATTGATGCTGCCTGACTTTAAAAATTGGATAAAGGCAGAAGAGCGGGGTTTAGTCCTGGCCGTCACCGGTTTGCTGTGCGTCCGGGGGTGAGGCTGGGCCTCAGGCTCCTCTGTAACGTGGGAGGGAGAAGATTACTCTTAAATATTAACTGTCAGAATCACTTGAGAAGCTTCTCAGACACGCAAATGCTTGAACTCACACCTCGGGAGATTCTGTAGGTCTGGGTGGGGCCTGGCTGTCTGTCTGCGGGTTTGGCAAGCTCCGTGGGTTCTGATGGAGGTGGTGCAGGGCCCTGGACAAACTTTGCAGCCCCTGCTGTCCTGGACCTCAGGCGAGCCTCTTGTTGGTGCATCACGCAGCTGACACTGGTGTGCAGGTCGCTGCTGGAGCTGCTTTCTGCTTTGCCAGTGGAGCCTGTGTTACTGTCTGGAGCGCCTGGCTTCAGATGAAACAGCCCTGCCAGTGAGCCCTGGGGACAGATCAAGGAGGATGGTGGATGGGGATTCAGGGGGGGGAGCGCCCAGCTCAGGCTTGCTTGGAGAGTGGGGGGCAGGGAAGGGGCCCTCCTCCCCTCTCTCTAGGGAGACCTCTGCTGGCTCTGGGACCTGGGATGTCCTGGGGATTTGACAGGCAGGTCGAAGGCTTCCTAGTCCTCCCAGATGGGACCTGCCTCAGCCTCCAGCCTCCCCCTTTCGCTGTGGTCACTGGGAGCCCAGAAGACTGGATCTAAAGGCTGGCCTGATGGGTGGCCTGTGTGTGGACAGTGAGACAAAAACGAGCCCAAGAATGGCAGCTGTCCTGGACCAAGCCCTGCCCATGGTGTGGGGGCTCAGGAGTGTCACCCCTTCACTCCCAGGGAATTGCAGAGTCCTTGGCTCGGTGGCATCCTGGGATCACACCGCAGGCCCAAAGGGACTGGGAAAGGGACAGGCCAACTCAGGGTTTGAGTGTCAGTCTGTCCCTGGGGTAGGCATAACAGCCCCACAACTTGTCTATACCCAAAACCCTAGAACCTGTGAATAAGTTGGGTTAGGTGGTGACATGGACTTTGTAGATGTGATTAAAGTCATCACCTTAAGAGGGGGTGATTATCCTGGATTATCTGGGTGGCCCATCTAATCTCAGGAGCCCTTAGAAGTAGGGGAAGGAGGAAAGACGTGGCAGGAGGGGAACAGGTTTCAAGCTGTGAGAGGGACCCCGAATGCCAGTACTGGAGGCCTAAGGCCGGCATGCAAGGTCTGAGAGAGGCCATGAGAAGCCTGGGGAGAGCACTGAAGGATGCAGGAGGCCAACAGGAGGAAGTATGGCCTCAGCTGATACTTAGTAAGTAAACTGCACCCCACTCCTACAACTGCAAGGAACTGAATTCAGCCAGTACCCTGAGTGAGCTTGGAAGCAGATTTTTCGCCAGAGGATCCCCCAAGAAACCCAGCCCCACTGATCCCTTGATTTGAGCCGGGTAACATCTGCATCTTCTAACCTGCAGAGCCGTGGGATGATAAATAGGTGTTTGAAGCCACTACGTTTGTCAGCAGCAATAGAAACCAGTGCCGTCCCTGGTTCCCAACATCCCAGCATGGAGAATAGAAGCCACAGGGCTATGGGCTTGGGCCCACATAAAGGACCCACACAAAGGTGACCGAGGGTGGGGATATTTTCTCAAAAGGTGGTGAGCTGGAGGGCCTCTGGCCGGGAACCTGCTCTTTTATGGGCCACCAGCCCTCTTGTGACTCCTGGGAGGGCAGCCCTTGGGGTAACTCCACTCTCTCCCACGGTCTAACAGAGTCACAGCCCCAGATGGGAGCAGGGCTCTTCCAGGGTCACTAGGCCTAGCCCCCACGAAACTTTACTCCAAGGAGCTCTGGGGACCTCGGGAATTCTCCATTCACAGTTCCTGAAACGGGCTGTGGGGAACGTGTCTGCAGCGCTGCCTGAGTGCCAGGCAGGGGTCGGGATAGCTGGAGGCCAGTTTCAGACTCTAACTTGCCTTAGGACCCTTCGGTCCTGTTTCTCCACCTGTAAAACGAAGAAATGGAACAGCAGGCCTCCGAGTTTCCTTCTGAGATAGAAACTCCTTAAAGTCCCTGGGAGAGCCGCCTGGCAGGGCAGCATGCTGGCCAGTTCTGGGGGCAGAAGGCAGGGGAGGGCTGGAGACAGTGGGGGTGGGGGTGGGGAGGGTGAGTTGCCCCCAGCACCTGCCTGGAGGGAGGGTTGCCCGCAAAGGGTCGGAGGGAAAGGGAGGAGAGGGACGAGGAAGGGCGGGGCCGGCCCCCCTGCGCCCGCCCCGCGCCTCTGCGCACCCCTCCCCGCCCGGCCCGCCCGGTCTACCCAGCCCAGCCCAGCCCGCGGGCCGGTCACACGCTGCTGGCCGGCCGCCTCCCGCGCCCAGCGAGCCGCGCTGCTGTGCTCCGCGCCCCTGTCCCGCGCCGCCGTCCGCCAGGCGCTCCTGGTGCCGGTGACCCTGCCCGCGACGCAGGGCGGAGCGGGCATGGCCCGCCGGGGGGCCGCCGCGCTGGCGCTGGCCTTGGCGCTCCTGGCGGTGGCCCTGTCTGGAGTCGGAGCCCAGGGCGCAGCCCTCGAGGACCCGGACTACTACGTCCAGGAGACCTGGAGCCGGAAGCCGGAGCCGGAGCCCTTGTCCTTGTCGCCTTCGCTGCCCGCGGGGGCTGGGGCGGGGGAGCGGGAGCCGCAGCCTCCGCAGCCCAGGACGCCCAAAAGGGCCACCAAGCCAAAGAAAGCTCCCAAGAGAGAAAAGCTGGCTCTGGAGACGCCCCCGCCAGGTAACTTTCTGGGCAGGGCAGCCCAAGGCGACGCCGCCCGTGGTCGCGTGCCCCACTGGGACAGCTGGCTTCCCTGCCTGCCAGTCTGGTTAGAGCGAGCCCCAGTGCGCCGCCACAGCCTCGCAGAGACCGCACCTGCACTTCCCGCCCGCTCCCCTCAGCTCCCCAGAGCTTGACTGTGACCCACTTCCCAGCTCGGGCTCTCCCTGCCTGTAGAGACGGAGCTGTGCGGTTGGGAAGCTGCCAAGGGAGCCCTCTCTCTGCCCCAGCTTGAAAGCCCCTGGGGAAAGGAGCTCTCTGCAGAAAACTTTCCTTCTCCGCACACTTCTTCAGTCTTCTTGGGGCGCTTTCTTGAGAGTGAATTTTCCACTTGGTGGTGTGAATGGCCGGCCTGTTTTGGCAGACAGCCTTCCTGGGAGAGCTCTGAGTGGGCCTTTACCCAACCTGGGTCCCCTCAGCGCCCCCTCCACCTGCAGGGGGTCCCTTGAATCCTCTTCCCTGCTGAGCTGGATGGCTCAGTGAGGGGGTGAGGGGAGCCATGCCTGATTTCTGCTGCAGCCCAGACCCCATAGCTGTGGAGAGGGCAGACTTCTATCCACCCTCATGCGATTCTCAAATTGGTCCTCAGTCTCTGCCAGGCCTGCCATGGACAAACTACTTCTGCTGGGGCTGCTACACGCCTTGGGAAGTGTGCTTTTGTATTAGTTGTTCCAAGGGTTCTTTGCTCCGCTTGCAGGGGGCTGCAGGTCTAGTATTGCAAGAGTGGGGAGCGAGCTGGATTGTGGCCAAATTCTCCTGCCTTGCAGTGGCCTTCCAGAAAGGAGATTTTTTATGTACCACCGTGAGAGAGCTCAGGCACAGAACGCATCCTCTTTGTTAGGATAAACCGCTCATGAAAGTCAGCAGGCAGGACGGTGGTGGGGGTGGGGCCCCAGAACTCTTGAAAGGGTGGGCCCATCTGCGCACCCCCCTTTGCTTATGCACGGAGCCTTGTTGTGTTTCAGTCTGTGGGCAACTTGGAATCTGCAGGCATTTCTGTGAGTTGTAAAACAGCCCTGAACAGAACCAGCCAGAATTTCCAGTGTTTCAGGAGGAGTTATGGGGATTAAGGTGTATAAGGGCCACGGTGGTTCAACCACAGGAGTAAGAGTGGGAAGAGACACTCATATCTGTAGGATGTCGCCGTGACTGTTGGGAGCTTTATGTTCGATCATCTCATTTACTCCTCTCTGTGGCCCTGGAGGGTGGGTGTTCTTGTTTTCCTGATGAGGAGCCTGAGGCTCAGACAGTTTAAGTAACTTGTTGGGTGTCACTTGCTGGCTTGGGAGATTTGAAAGCCTTTCTCCTGTGTTTTTCACTTCGAGGCCTTTTTGGCTTGGTAGTTCAAACCAAATCTGCATGTATTCTTGTTTTGTAGGGTCTGGCCTGTGTTTAGCCCAGCGCTGTGCATGGCAGGGTGGGGTGGGAGGTAGACGCATGTGTTGGGTTCTGGGAGTCACTGGGGTGGTGGCCGGAGGAAAACTGGGAGAAGCCCCAGATTGGGGTGTGAAGACTGTGCCTGACACCCAGGTTGAGGGCTCATGGCTCAGCTTCCTGAACTGCAGCTGTGGCATCTGTGAACAGGAAGACGGGAGCCTCACTTTGTCACTTGCTATAAAGGCCTTTCACCAGCAGCTTCCGGGGTGCCTGCTAGCTTAGGGCTGTGCTGGTCCTGTGAACCTTCGTTCACTCCGCAGCTGGTTACCGAGAGCCTGCTTAGCGCCATCGTCTGGGTGAGGTCCTCGGATGGAGAGAGCAAGACGGCCCTGGCCCCGCCCTCATGGAACTCATAGCAGGTAGGGGACTTTGAGAAAGTCATTAGGGTTGCACAGAAGTGTGGGGTGTTAATGAGATGAATACGCAGGGAGCTCACCTGGTCTGGGGGCTTGGGCCCTGCTTCCCAGCGGAGATGATGTTGAAGGCCCGACAAGAGAGTCAGCTTTATTGTCCTGGGGACTCTGGCTGGTGGCCAGGCATCATTCCCAAGATAGCTTTCTTTGCCTACAGAAAACGGCTCAGAAAGTCATGGCCTGGCCTCAGCAGTGTCCACAGGCTGATGTGTCTGCAGACTCAGATGGTACAACGGGGAGGTGACTCTCCTTAGTCCTTTCGGCACCAGCACTTGCCAGCCTTGGACTGGGGTCTCTGAAGGAGAAATCAGAGTGCAGCCTCATTTGCAAGAAGGTTGTTTGCTTCTGGAAGATCATCTTGCAGGTAGAAATGGGCTGTGGAGTGAGGAAGCCGGTTTATTCCCAGTGAATAGCCTCTGCCCCTGAAGGAAATGAGCTGCCCAGTCCTGCCAGCCTCTGGCATTCACATGGATTGTCAAACCCCAAAGGAACAACAGGCTCTTGGAAATTCTAGAGGCTCAGATCAGCGGCCTTGTTGGGGAGCTGCCTCTGCCTCCAGGCCTGCCGCTGTTCAGCCGCAATTATGCGTGGGGCTTTTTAGAGCTGCCTTAACTGTGACAAGCCAAGTGTGACATTTTTCTTATACTTTTAACTGTCTTTTTTTTGTTGTTGTTGTTTGGCATTTGGTCAGAGGAACCCACTGCTCTGGACCCCAAGTGGGGAAGTAGGGGAGACATTTAAGAATGACCTTCATTAGGGAAGTCAGTGATAGTTTTGTACAGTGAACCGCACTAGGAGAAAATTACTTTTTCCCACGCTAAGTGGTGGCTTAGTCTGTGCACTGCTCGTTAGTTTCTGCATTGGTCCGTTTTGTAAGCAGGTGGTCATGATGTCTTAGGGAGGCACTTAGGGAGGAAGGAACACTGGGCCATGGCTGGGAGTGTTTGATGCAAACTTGTGTCCTTTGCTTCACTGAGGTCACTGAGGGTGCATGGTGCATGCTACGCATAAGCGCTGTCTAGGCACTGGGGTGCAAATAAGAGGTTAGATTTAGAGATGCATAAGGATGTAAAGTATATATAACTATTTAAAAAGTCTATCGTGTGCTTCATCTTTGCAGGTGATAAAATATTTTCCAGATAGCCTTTGTCTTTCATAGAGGTGGGGTTCAAGGGAAGGTGGAAAGCAAATCACCAAAGAAATGCCCACTGGACATCACATGCTGCCATTCATTGATGTGGCTTAGAGAGCTGAATCCTTTTGTTAATTGAGAGTATTGCATTTTCCATGCATGGCTGACAGATTTCCAGAGAAGTGGAGCCCTGATATACTGAATGGAATGAAATCTTTAAAAACATTCATGTAGGTGTCTGTTTTGCAATAATTATGGACTTACAGGAAATTGCAAAAGTAGTACAGTGAAGTCCCATGTACCTATCATCTAGCTTCCCCAGTGACAATGTCTCAGATAGTTATAGTGCAGGGTTTCTCAACCTTGGCAGTATTGACATTTGGAGCCACTTGTGTATGTATGTGTGTGCTGATGGGGGAACAAGGCAGTTGTTGTCCTGTGCATTGTGGGACGTTAGTAGCATCCTGTGGGTCAAGACCAGGTCATCCTACAATGCACAGGACAGCAACCCAACTGGATTCCACTTGTACCTTCCATGCCATTGTTATAACCAAACCTGTCTGCAAACATTGCCAAATATGCCCAGGGGGCTGAGAATCACTGCTATATGTAGTATCAAAACCAGGTAATCGACTATGGTGCAATCCTGTTAACTAGATGACATACCTTATTCATATTTTACCAGTTTTTACTTGCATTCATATGCGTGCTCTCTGCAGTTTTATTGCACGTACAGATTTGTGGAACTACCACCAACAATAGGATATGGAACTGTAGGATCTTTTTCTGAGGTTGAATTGGGACTTTGGTTTCATATAATTTCTGAGGTCCTCACTGTAAACATTAGTTCATCCCAGAATTTTAGAGCTTAACGGAACCTACGTGGTCACTGAGGGTAAGTTCTTGTTCATGGCAAGCTTCCGACAGTGAGCAGCCCGACCTCTGTTCACACACTTCTGTGGAGGGAATCTCACCATTCATTGGATGAATAGTGCTGATTGCTAGAATGCTTTTCCTCATATGGACCTGACAACGTGTTTCTCTCTAATTCCAGTTTTTCAGCTGTTTCTAGTTGAATTCTACAGTTTCTAGGTCTCTGCAGTTGGAATGATTGTAGCCCAGGAGTGAGTCTCAGGTCTCCAGTTTTTATCATGCCAGGGTTAAGGATTAGTAATGGGCCACATTTTGGGCATGCAGGTAGATTTGGGGTATACTTACTTTGCATGCCATTTCCACATTGATGGCCTTGGTTTGTAGCCACGCTCTTTTTGGAGAAAAATATAGAACTGAGAAATAAACCATAGCTATATAACTCACCTTTTCGCTCCCACTTGGCAGTAACAAACAAACAAAATAATAAACTGAATTATTGATTTGAATAAGTGATTTGAGGATTTTTTTTTCCTTCTGCTTTCATTGCACATTGGGTTAGAAGTAGGCTTGGATATATGGCCTTTAAATTTGGGTTTCTCTTGGTCCTTTGTTCACTGCTTACTTCAAGCATGGCAAGAATGCACCACTGTTAGATTATGCCCAAACCCGCATCCCGGCCATAGTCCGAGCCCACGGAATTTGCAGGGTGGGCATCAAGCCACGTTTGTTTGCATGTCTGTGCCTGGAATCATTGGGTTTGCATTTTGTACAGTGTTATGCTCCAGTGGTGGGGGAAAATCACCAAAGAGTTGTTATTTGAGCATATTTGGTTGTAAACAAAGCCCTTTCTGTTGTGTGTGCTGCAAACCAGTTGGTGGAAAGGGCTTCACATTTAAGCTTTGCTTCATCTCTTTTCAGAGTGTTTTGCAGTGTTTGACTTTTGGATGGAAATGTCTTCTCTTGGGCAAAGCTGGAGTGTGAGGATTAGGAGAATGTGTTGTAAATATTTCAATACATATTTCTAAAAACAAGTACAATGCTATTAGCACACCAAAACAGTTAATAAGAAATCCTTAATGCCAGATTATATGGTCACTTTAAGAGTT